AAGGTAACAAATATGTTATATTTATAATTAACTAACAATTTACTTCACGAAGAGGGTGTGGGTGTGGGTGTGGGTGTGGTTGAACTAAAGATTCACAACTACACCCACACCCACATCCACACCCTCGCGTTATAAGAAGGACTTCCGAGTAGTGCCTAAAAGCTCGACCAGGATCTGTCTTGGTGTCCGTGGCACACGATCGAGCCCTCCAGACTCACTGACACATACCATCGGATGGGTGCATGTGGATGATATGGATCTTCTCGCGCGTGCATGAGCACTAGGCTCGCTACGGCTCCCACAGGATGGTTACTAGTCGCACGCGAATGCGAATAGAATAGCTATTAATTCATTTTCATTCAATCACGATTTATTTGAAAGAGACGGAGAACAAAAAAAAAATTAAATTAATCATCGTAATGAGTTTATTCGACATTAAATTTTTGTACTCGATGATTTCCGTAATCGACGACATAGAGATTGCCATCTCGATCAAATGATAAACCTATGGGACGATCGAGTTGATCCGACTGTGCTCCTCTGCCGCTTCCACCAATAATGACACTTCCCTGTGTGGCTCCTTTTGGCCAACGCATGATTCGATCATTACTACAATCAGCCACATAAACAGTACACAACTGATCGACAACGACTTGGTTAGGTCCTGTCAATTGTGTAAGACTATTTCCTTTTTCTTGACCACCGGCTACGACAATACCTTGCTTTGCACCTTCTTCCCATTTCATTACACGATGATTCCATGTATCAGACACATATACTGAATGATCTCGATCGATAAATACGTAGGTGGGGTGAGAGAGTTGATCGAGACGATTTCCTTTTCCATTCCCACCTGCAACCACTGTTCCTTTAGTGTCACCAATTTTATATCGTCTTACTTCATGGTTTCCATAGTCAACGACATAGAGAGATCCATTCTCATCCATTGTCAAACCGAAGGAAGAGATATTCGAAATAATTGTTTCTCCACGAGTATCATTTCGACGAGACCATCGAACTACTCTTTGGTTCCCGCCATCCGAGATGATGAGACTATCTCTCGCTTTGTCAACAATCACATCTCGTGGCCAGTGTAACTGATGAGCTTCATTTCCACTTCCATTTCCACCAGCAGCCACTTTTCCATTTGTTGCACCATATTTCCATTCCACAATACGATCATTGTCCCTATCAGCGACATAAAGCGTTTGATCATCATCGACGTACAAACCATCTGGGTAATCAAGTTGATTGGTTTCACTGCCTTCTCCATTTCCTCCAGCAACAGTGATACCATTCTGTGCCCATTTTGCAT